CCATAAGTGGAGTTGGAGTTTCTGAAGTTATTGATTCTAGGAATCCAAAATTCAGCAAAGGTGATCTAGTATGGGGAAGAACTGGCTGGGAAGAATACAGTGTGATCGATTCACCAGAGTCCCTGTTTAAGATACAAGACACAGATCTGCCTCTTTCCTACTATACTGGGATACTTGGTAAGCTGTTTTCTTCATTTGTCTTTGTACGTGTTTAACCATGCAAAATAGATTTTGTGCTCGCCTCTTTTTCCCTTTGTTTGTTCTCCATTGATGTCTGTCCTTCTGTTGGAGATGCAGAGATTTGTACAACAGAAAGCCCACTAATGGTTGCCATCCTTATAGTAAATTTTGCTGATAGTGTGGGAGGAAACATAGGGCCAGACTGCAGTTCTTTTTATACACTTGATATTAGGTTCTTTGATGAAGTTATAATATGAACAAATTTTTTTCTTAGAAACCCAATCATGTGATGTTGATTTCTGAACATAAGGAATTACTGTTCCACAACATTCACAATTCTTACAGACGTTTGTGGCCTATCTCAAAATACTAGCATCATCCACAATTATGTTTCGATTTTTGAAAACATACACAGGGGAACTAGTTAAGTATGGTGATGATTTCATAGACGTCTAGATCTATGAAGATCTTTTTAATAAAATCGGGGGTTGGATTTGCGGACATATGGTAGTTTCAAAAGTTGAAGGCTTGCGTATCTAGTAATCTCACTTGAACCCCACTATATGCGTCCCACTTTTGTTTCTCCTCTTAAAATATTTCATTATCCAGAGTTATATCATTTGTTGTTTCCTAATGAATCAGCGTTTGATGAGGGAAGTAGAAGTAGAATAGATGTGCCAAGACGATTTCTTATCTTTGTTGTAAGTTTGTTTTTATATGCTTCTTAAAGCTTCATTCACCAAGTACCAACATAAACATTACGTGCAGGTATGCCTGGTCTGACTGCTTATGTGGGATTTTATGAGGTTTGTGCCCCTAAGAAAGGGGAGACTGTATTTGTATCAGCTGCATCTGGAGCTGTAGGTCAGCTTGTTGGGCAATTTGCTAAGTTGATGGGTTGCTATGTTGTTGGAAGTGCAGGAAGCAAAGAAAAGGTAAGTAAATATAGCTTAGCATACAGAGCAAACTTAGTCGAGCGAGATTTATTTTTTACTTTGTATCTTAAGGGAGATTAGTCTCTACTGTTGGTGCCTCACTAAAAATAAGAAGAATAAAGATCACTTAAGTGGTTAACTTTTGTAACTAATCATAAGGTAGTCCAGCCTCTGATTGCAAAATCACAAAAGCATACTCCTGTGAAAGATGCATGTGTGTTGTAACCTCAAACCACACGGTTTATTCACAAGTTTAGTAGCACTCATGTGACTCCAACATTGCTATGCACTATTTGTCGAATATATCTGATGTTGTTGCTTTACTTCATCACCTCTGTGACACAGGTTGACCTACTCAAGAGTAAGTTTGGTTTTGATGAGGCTTTCAACTACAAAGAAGAAGCTGACCTTCATGCTGCTTTAAAAAGGTTAGTGGTTATCTATTTTCTCATGATGCAGACTGTGCTGCATTTTGCAAATGTTTTGGATCCATTTTTGAAAGAGTGAAAGTTGAATCAGTACTATTCAAATCTTGCTATCAACTTATCAAGAGCTCCCAAATGGCCAAATTAGCCTGTTTTTTCTTTGTCCTCTTTTCTCTCTCCCACGGTGACCTCATGAGAGAGGATTTTAAGGGATGAGATTCTTTTCTTGTATCGGAGATTTTTTTTTTTTCGGGTTAGGGGGAGAGAGAGGGAGAGAAGAGGTGAGGTCTTTATGGCATGGGGTCCACATGGCATTGTTTGCTCTCTCTCGCTTATATTCTCCATTGTGTTCTTATATAAATATTATAAAAACTAGCTACTATTAAACAATGATAGTTGGAACTTGGATGTATACCTTATTTTTTACGCAAAGAGAAGAGAAGCACTTATTTTATTTGATAATCAAACAGGACAGCTTTCTACAGTCTTGGAAAATTTGGTGGAGAGACTATCTTTTTACTGTTATTTTCAATTACTTTCTCAAATCCAAATGCCGGGAAAGTTTATTATTTCAATTATTAAAACATAGATTCTTCTAAACTTCATTTATAATGAATTTGTTTCTTCCACTTCCCTTTTATTTATGGCTTGATACTTAGAGCATGTTGCTTTCACTCGTAAGTCATGAGTTTGAATTCCGAAGCAGCTAAAGAAAGCAGAAACAGCTTGTAGGAAATAGAATAATATGGAGAATAATTCTCTTGTATTTCATTGATCAGAATATACACATATATATACAAGTGAGAGGAGCCTCTGCATTAATGGCTCATTATGATAATATCATATCCTATTAAATCCTAATCATAATTACATAATATTTACATATCAAATCATATCATATCTCTACACTCCCCCTCAAGTTGGAGCATAAATGTTAAGCATGCCCAACTTGTCACACAGATAGTCAACACGAGTCCCATTTAGAGCTTTAGTTAGAAGGTCGCCTAATTGATCACTAGAACGCACATATCCAGTGGAGATGAAGTTCTCCTTAAGCTTGTCTCTGATAAAATGACAATCAATCTCAATATGTTTGGTACGTTCATGGAACACAGAATTGGAGGCTATATGTAGGGCAGCCTTATTGTCACACCACAACTTTGCTGGCAAAGTGGTTTTGAGGCCAACTTCCTTTAATAGCTGATATATCCAGATTATCTCACATACAGACTGTGCCATAGCTCGGTATTCTGCCTCTGCGCTCGATCTGGACACCACATTTTGTTTCTTGCTTTTCCAGGACACCAGATTCCCGCCCACAAAGACACAGTATCCTGTAGTAGACCGTCTCGTGGCCTTTGATCCACCATGATCCGCATCACAGAAGCACTCAATGTCTGTATGGCCATGATTTTTGTATAATATCCCACGACCTGGACATCCCTTCAAATAATGTAACACGTGCTCCAAGGCTTCCCACTGTCTGACAGTCGGGGATGCCATGAACTGGCTTAGTACACTGACTGGATAAGTAATATCCGGACGAGTTACAGTGAGATAGTTTAACTTGCCAATCATTCTCCTGTACCTCTCAGGATTCTCAAATGGTTTGCTCTTCTGAGCCTCAAGCATCCGTTTCTCATCATCAAGAGAATCATCGAGTGGTATGCTCCCATCAGCGTCAAGGAGTGGGTTGTGAACCATAGGAAACTTAGTCGGTGCTGCTCCCAACTTTCCAGTTTCCTTCAGGAGGTCAAGAACATATTTGCGCTGTGTCAGTAATATGCCCTTCTTGCTTCTCATAACTTCAATACCTAGAAAGTATGTCAGAGAGCCCAGATCCTTCGTCTGAAAGTGGGAATTAAGAAAGGACTTGAGGGACGAGATGCCCGAACCATTACTGCCTGTGATCACAATGTCATCTACATATACCACCAAGAGAATCATGCCAGCCGCTGTTCTTTGATAAAATACAGAATGATCGCACTTGCTTTGGCTCATGCCAAATTTCTGTACGACAGTACTGAACCGGTCAAACCATGCACGAGGGCTTTGCTTCAAACCATACAAGGACCTCTTAAGGCGACATACTTTCCCATGCTCCCCCTGAGCAACGAACCCAGGTGGTTGCTCCATATAGACCTCTTCATGAAGATCACCATGTAAGAATGCATTTTTAATGTCTAATTGATGTAGATCCCAATCATAAGTAGCAGCCAGAGAGATGAACAGACGGACAGATGAGAGCTTAGCAACAGGAGAAAAGGTTTCGGAATAGTCAATGCCATAGGTTTGTGCATAACCTTTAGCCACAAGGCGAGCCTTAAGGCGGTCAAGTGTGCCGTCAGCCTTAGTTTTCGGAGTGAACACCCATTTACATCCAATGGCCTTTTTACCCGCCGGTAAATCGACCAGGGTCCATGTACCAGCCCGATCAAGGGCCGCCATCTCCTCTTCCATTGCAGCACGCCAACCTGAGTGGGCCAAGGCTTCACGAATAGTTCTGGGCACAGAGATAGTATCTAGGGAGGCAACAAAGGAACTGGACACAGGAGACAAGCGGTCATATGAAACAAAGGACGAAATAGGATGGGCACAAGTACGTTTACCTTTGCGAAGGGCAATGGGTAGATCAAGAGAGGCATCCGGGTCTGGAACAGGAGGTGTCTCAGGATTAGGGTCAGAACGAGGTTCAGTGTTGCTCAACTCAGGATCTGAGGGCGAGGCGGACCAGGGAGGAATAGAAGCTGGCGTGGCGGTAGTAATCTCCTCTGACCGTCGTGTATACACACGATCAAATGGTTGAACGAGTGCGGGAGCGGGTGCTTGCGACGACAGTGATGGTGAGGTGACAGAGTATATTAGAAGGTCATCCTCCTCCGCAGGTGGAGCAGGTGGGAAGAATGCGAGAAATATGGTGTGGACTCTTGAAAGGTGACATCTGCAGATACTAAATAACGATTGAGAGTAGGTGAGAAACAACGATAACCTTTTTGGACCTGAGAGTATTCAAGGAAGACACATTTAAGCGACTTGGGGTCTAACTTTGAAATAGATGGACGTACATCCCGCACAAAACAGACACACCCAAATATCTTAGGAGCAATAGGAAACAAAGGCTTAAAGGAAAGAGGGTAAAAAAGGAGAGTTACCATCAAGAACAGAGGAAGGCATTCGATTAATAAGGAAGCAGGCAGTGGAGACCGCGTCAGCCCAAAATGGTTTAGGAACCTGCATTTGAAACAAAAGTGCACAGGCCACCTCAAGTAGGTGGCGATTTTTTCTTTCTGCAACACCATTTTGAGCTGGTGTATCGACACAAGACGACTGATGAAGTATACCATTTTGAAGCATGTAAGATTGGAACGAAGCAGAGAGATATTCTTTAGCATTATCACTTCGTAAGGTGCGAATAGAAACATTAAATTGAGTTTTAATCTCAGCACAAAAGGCACAAAAATGGGAAAACAATTCAGAACGATGTTTCATTAAATATAACCAAGTTGTCCGGGAATAATCATCAACAAATGTAACAAAGTATTTAAACCCTGCTTTGGACTCTACAGGACAAGGACCCCAAACATCAGAATGGACTAACTCAAAAGGGGATGAAACCCGTTTATTGACACGAGACACTAAAGGAAGACGATGATGCTTGGCAAACTGACATGACTCACAATCTAAAGACGACAAATGCTGAAATTGAGGATAAACTTTCTTAAGAGAAGATAGAGACAAATGACCCAATCGACAATGAACTTCAAAGGGAGAATGACTGCTAGCGCAAGCTACCGCATGAGACACCCGATCATCCAGTATATAGTGCCCGCCAGATTCATAACCTCTACCAATAATCCGCCTCGTCAAAAGATCCTGTATCAAGCAATGAGAAGGAAAAAGTGAGACCCAACAGTTTAGTTGACGGGTGAGTTTACTGGGAGATAGGAGATTAAAAGCAAGTTTAGGAACATTTAGCATAGATGACAAACGGATAGAGGGTGTGGGATTAACAGTGCCAAAACCGAGAACTTGAGACTGGGAACCATCAGCGATGGAAACACTTGACGGATTGGCAAAAGCATTATAAGAGGAGAAGAGATAGCTGTTACCTGTCATATGATCAGTAGCCCCGGAATCTATGATCCACTTTGAGGAAGAAGAAGCAAGGGCAGTAGCATTATTACCTGTTGTAGCTGCGGCACTCACAGACGGTGTAGTAGATTTTAACTGGGCATACTCAGCAGCAGAAATCGTGACTGTGTCACTGGCTTGTGTAGCCACGTGGGCACTGGCTTGTGTAGCCACGTGGGCAGAGTTATTCCATTGTTGTTTATTCTGAAGTTTTCGACATGTGCGTTTTGTATGCCCCGGTTCTTTGCAGTAATAACACACTACCCCACTGGAGTCAGACGGGGCTCCCCCTTGCTTCGAACCACCACGGGTAGGCCCCCCGCGGTTATCAATGGGATTACGAGTCTCATAGGTGCCCTTACTGAGCAAGGCACTTGTAAGAATACTAGCAGCTGGTGGTAAGAGATTCTCAGCTCTCATTACTCTGGAAAACACATCTTGAAGGTCAGAAATTTCAGATCCGGATAAGATTTGAGACCGAACTGTGTCGTACTCAGGTGGGAGACCAGTAAGAAAGCTCATAATAGCCATTTGCTCCCGTTGCTTATGCTGAACCTTCAAATCAGCAGTAAGAGGCATTAACACATTCAGTTCTTCATACATCCTTTTAAAGTCCATAAAGTAGGCTTTAAGAGGACGATCCTGTTTTTCAGAACGATAGAAAGCTTTGCAGACCTCGTAAACACGAGAGATATTTCCTTTTCCTGAATACAAAAAATCTAAATAATCCATTAGTTCCTTAACCAATTCACAGTGATTAATAGAGGGAATAATCTCACTGTCAATGGAATTACGGATCTGGAAAAATAACCGTGCATCATCCCGCAACCAGGTCTTTTTGGAATCAGTTGTTGGAGGATCATCAGTCAGATGGTCTTCCTTCTCAATGCTCCGCAGATACAGGCGAATGGTTTTACTCCAATCCAAATAATTTACCCAAGTCAACTTGTGATCAGTAATTTTAGTAATAGTTGGGACAAGCTCCGAGACAGATTTAATTTCCGCCATAGATGAAGTGCACTAACCAAAGGGAATGCGAAAGAGTGTTACACAGGAACACAAAGCACGATACCTGGATTACCTAATGAATACCAAAGCAGTAAAAAGGCCAACAGCTACACAGGGAGCTGCAAACAGAACTGACACAAACAGCGTGCCGGAGATGCGCCAGAAACGAAACAGAACGTCAGAAAGTAATAACCGTACGGACTGTACGGGGACGTCGAGTGAGCAGTGCAGAGCGCCGGAAAAGTCGATGAACAGTGCAGAGCGTACGGACTGTACGGACGCCGAGTGAACAGTGCAGGGTGGTGGCACCAAAGGAAGCGTCGGGAAGAGGGTAACGAGCTCACACAGTAATTTTGGTACTGTAGCAACCGAAAATTAACACCCAGAAAGAAAATTCCCACGCTCTGATACCATGTAGGAAATAGAATAATATGGAGAATAATTCTCTTGTATTTCATTGATCAGAATATACACATATATATACAAGTGAGAGGAGCCTCTGCATTAATGGCTCATTATGATAATATCATATCCTATCAAATCCTAATCATAATTACATAATATTTACATATCAAATCATATCATATCTCTACACAGCTGAACAAGAGAGGAGACATATCACTATCTTATATAGTGTGTTTAATTTTGCAGGTATTTTCCCGAGGGTATCGATATATACTTTGAGAACGTAGGAGGGAACATGCTGGATGCAGTGTTACTCAACATGAGGGTCCATGGCAGAATCGCTGTGTGCGGACTGATTTCACAGTACAACCTTGATAAGCCTGAAGGTGTGCAATATCTGTTCAATCTCGTGATCAAACGGATTCGCATGGAAGGTTTCCTGGTTCATGATCATTACCATCTCTACCCCAAGTTCATAGAGATGGTGATTCCACAGATCAAACAAGGCAAGATTGTTTATGTGGAGGACATTGCTCAAGGCCTTGAGAGTGGCCCTTCAGCCCTCGTTGGCCTCTTCTCTGGCCGTAATGTTGGCAAACAACTTATAGCAGTTGCTCCACAATGAGTCTGCATCCTTTGAATCAAATAATTCGCTGTACGCAATGTTGTAAGAAAGATATATGGAAAAAATAATTACGATGTGTGATTCTGTGAAAGTAGTGCTATAATAAGGAAATAGTCCATACTAATTTGTCACAAGTTAGACAGGCATGTGAGTGGGAACCTGCTTTGTTATCTTGCTTCTAAAGTGAGGCAGAGGTTTGGCTTGGTATTTGTAATGTGTTTTAAAACAAGATTTGGTTTATTATGATTGATTTAAGATTTTGGTTAAAAATGCTTCTAAAGATTTTGTTGTTAATAAATAATAAAGATATTGATATTGTGTGATTCATGTAATCGATTTTATGTTTTACTTAGCCGGATAAGGCTTTCACCCATACGGCCATACGTTATCTTTTTTCTTTCAAGGTCATTAACATTAAGTAAATAAATTTACCTCAAGTTTAAAATAGCTGAATTTCTTAGTGAGGCTATTGTTTTTTAGGAGTAAATATCGGGAAGAAGTTTTCCTTTAAAAATTTTATTGGTGAGAAAAACTTGGCAAAAGTACTCTTCAAGTTTTCATATGTAAAATATTATTAGATCCTTCTTATTAATAAATTTTTTTATGAGAACTTTTCTCCCATTTCCTATCATTAGGTAATCGATCACTAAAACACATCAATCTTATCAATGCTGTTTTATAACCTTTGCAAGAAAGTTCTCATATAAAGTGAGAGGTTCACTTCTGATTTTAAATTATTAATGCTGCCCATTCTACATAAAGCTTTTTCAAAAAAAAAAATCTATTTCATTTGAACAATCACTTATTTAAATTTTGACTAAGTTATTGTAAAATTAATAATAAGGCTATTTTAAAAATACAAGGTGAGTATGAATTTGACGCATCCCACCGTTGAAATGCATCAACCACACAAGCAAAGAAATCTCACTTGAAAATTCGCGTAAATTTCCTTTTTCTGATTCCATGGCAAACCGGGGGATCGAACTGGGATCTTATGGTTAGGTGTCAAGCGCTGCAACCATCCAATCCCAAAGCTATTCAAATTCGCATATTTTAGATTTGGCACCGCACTAATTAGCAGCCGACATTTTTGTCCACATTGGAAATTCTTGGATTTTTTATTGTTATTAATTTTCTTCCCAAGTCTATAAATATCGTTTTAATGTATGCAAGATATTTGGGCAACCATACTACCAGAAAACACCAACTTCATTTAAAAATTTGTTTATTCCAGATCATTTAATTGAATTATGAGAAAATTGGAAAAAAATCTCTCATTAAAAACCTTATTAGTGATAACGAATTAAATTATAACATCATTATTGTATGCATACAAAATTTATAGAATACTGGTTATGTTTTGTACATAAAATTTATCAGGTTTTTCTCACCAACAAAATTCTTAATATATTTCTTAAATTATTATCGGAAATTGAAAATGCATGAACAAACTAATCTCTCCCTCTTTTTTTATAAGCAACATTAGAACTTATCACGTAAATTAAAATATTAGTTAAAATTAATTAGTCAAAAACAATGTGTCAAAATTAGAAGTTTTTTTCTTTGAAATGCCCTTATTTATAGGGAGAGAAAATATGAGAAAGAATGTAAGAAAATTATTATAATAAAGACAATTATAAAAAAGAGAGAATATGTGATTGAAAGATGATAGTTTGAGAAATAAAATATAAATGTATTAAGTATTAAAATAATTAAAATAAGTAATTAATAAGGGTAAAATAAAAAATTCGTTATAAAAATTTAAAACAACTTACAAATGTTATTAATATTTAAAAATAAAAGAGAGATGATAGCCGTTGTTTATTAAAAAAAACCGGAGGGAGTAACAAATTTCATTTAAGTGGCAATCTATTAACGTCCATAAGCATCTTGCTTCTGCATTTGCCTTGTCCAGCCACGAGTAGAGATAACAGAATCTGTGGCTTGAGACAGTCAAGGGTCTCTCTGTTCCTTTGCGGTAAGCTCATTGCGGCGACGGCGACGGTGAGAAGCTCTCGATGGCCGGCAATGTCGACGGTGGAGAAGTCCGAAACAAACAGGTGTTACTCAAGGACTTCGTCTCTGGCTTTCCCAACGAGTCCGACATGCCCTTCTCTACTTCCTCTGTCAGTTTGAAGCTTCCGGAAGGTTCCAATGACGTTTTAGTGAAGAATCTCTATCTTTCTTGTGATCCCTACATGCGAAACCGTATGTCCAAACCATTACGTCCTTCATATGTCGATTCCTTCCAGCCTGGTTCGGTTCGTACTCTCTCCACTTCACTCTTCTTTCTTGTTTGGAATATTATATTGCTAATTATTCGTACCAAATTGTAATTATTGTTCATAAAACAATCGAACAGTAGTAATTTTAGTTTTTGGGAGTCGATCACGGAACGATGGGCTCATTGTTTTGTATGATAATCACTTTTTAATGCATCTTCATCAGTTTTCACTGGTCGCAAAACATGGAAGATTATGTTTAGGACGGACGGTTAGAGACTTACAGTTTATGGAGTTTTGAGTTGTGTTTCTGTGTAGTCTAACTGATGATGATATTTGTTGTTATAAATTGACAGCCAATAATCGGATTAGGGGTTTCAAAAGTCATTGATTCTGGGAATCAAAACTTCAGAGAAGGTGATCTAGTCTGGGGAATGACTGGTTGGGAAGAATATAGTGTGATCAGTTCGACAGAGTCTCTGTTTAAGATACAACACACAGATCTGCCTCTGTCCTATTATACTGGAATACTTGGTAAGCCGTTTTTTACCCCATTTGTTTGTGCTTATGAGGTAAGGTTGGGGAGGAGCGGAATGACAATAACTTCTAATTTTAATAAAAAAAATATAATTATTTATGCATCAGATCTCATATTTAAATTTATATAAATGTAAAAGACCTACTCCTCCGGTCTTTATTATAAGACCCAATTTGACTTTTTATTTGGTCCTAATTATAGGACTCAATTCATTTTGTCTCTTATATTTATGTATTTTTTTCCAAGATAATCCTTCTAATAATGATAGTTTTAGCCAATATACTTAATTAGCAAGGATATTTTAGGAATGACAACAGTTATTTATTATAAATAACCAACTTAACTTACTTCTTTAATCTCCTCAAATAAGTCAATTGGGTCTTATAATTAGGACCGGAGGAGTATTAATTAACAGGTTGGGTTGCCTCTTTTTTATGTTAAAGAATATAGATGAATTGCATTATTGTTTTGTTAAAAGTAACCTTCCAATCCATAATATTATATTTGCAGGTTGCCCTTTCAGACACCTCAATAATCTGTGATTTCTTTTTATTATATATGTGTGTTTATAATATGGTTAGCTTATTAATTAACCTTTCTAATTGGATATAAAAACACAACTTATCGGTTCACATCGCGATTCGGAATTTAAGTTTGTGTAAATATAAAATGCGTATTAACTAACTGAGTTTTATCTGTTTATAAAAAAATCGAGTTTTATCTTTTTTTATGTTACAAAAAATTGAAATAAATTGTACCACTTTTTGCCCTAAATATAAGATTTAGTCTATAATGTTTATAGTAAGCTTCCAATATTGACAAAAACAAAAGTAAGCTTCCAATGTTGGCAGGAAAAAAAGAAGAAGCAAGCTTCCAATACATACAAGATTACAAGTCTATAGTATATTAGTATTTAATGTCATTCGAACTTGAATTGTTGGGCAAGAAAAATTAATTAGCAATAGTCCCCTTAAAAATGGACAATAATTCGTTTTTAAATATGATATCCTGACATGCTATCTTGTTCCCATAATTTTATTCATAGTTTCAAAACTATCCCCCTTACATTTGAAGTGTTTTAAGACCATCCTTTAAATGATTAAAGGGGTGCTTCCAGAAGTGCTTCTCAGAAGCTTTTTTTTTTTTTTTCATAAAACGAGACAAACTTCTCCACATATTTATCTTGTATATCGTAAAAATACTTTTAAAATCATGGTTTGGTTTCCATCCAAACACTCTTTAAATCTATATCAAATAAATTGTTTGTATAAAATGTGTTCAGATAAAAGTTGACACCAGTGAATATAATGTCATATTGTCATTTTCGATTCTTATTTTGTTATTTTTGTTTTGAGATGGAAACTTAATGGGAAAATAAATAAAAAATCTCTTGAATTTTAAAATTCTAAAACAGTCTTGTTTATTATACTTTAATAGCAATTGACTATACTTGAAAAACAAATTATGACAACACATTTTTGTAATAATTATTGATTTGGGATTTTAATTTTTTTTTTTGTGGTTTTCCCAAACTTAATCCTACTTAATTCAATTTTTTTAAACAAAATTGGAGTTGAAATTGCACCCCTCTTCTCAAACAAGTGCTAATTTGATTTGAAATAATAATAAAATTAAAATAATTATTAATTATTAAAATTAACTTATTGATAGGACAAAATCACATCTGAACTAATAGAAACATCACCATAATAGTTTCTCAAAGCAAACCCATCACTCTTTCTCATTTCACACCAGAAAACCTATTTACTATCACAAATACCAAGAGGTGCAGATTGAAGCCAAAGTACATAGAACAACAAAAAATAAAACCAAACACACACATCAAATTCCGACTAATCCAGATCGAGCTAATAAAAACACACAATATAATCAAGCTTATATCTATGTTTGTGTATTGTTCCACCCGACCACAATAAAATAAACAATGTCATCATAATTTGTGGCTAAAACCGCAATGAGGGCAAGTCCTTTGTTCTGGAGAACATATGCCGGCAAGTCGTCCTTCTTCACAACGATGGACGCAGAAGGGATTATCTCTTCAACTCTCATCGCTACCACCTCTACTGACCACCCAAGCAGTACACTCCATGGATAATTCCTCGCTTTAATAATATCCCACCAAAAAAGAAAACCACAATCAACTTGAAATTCTGTTGCTTGATTAATTTCTTTTTATTTTCTAGGTCTATGCATGAATTTATTTTTATTAATGGGAACTGTGTGTGTCTATGATGACGTGGAAAAATAGAGGAAAATAAGTATGTATAAATACTCCTCAAGTCTTATTTATTTATTCAATATGTTTTACCAGAACTAAGAAGAATCTTAAACATCGTTAATTTTGTATTAAAAATCAATGATTTTTTAAAACTTAATTTACTCTTATTTATTATGTATATTTCAAGAAAATAACAAGATACAAAATAATAAATTAATTAGGGATAAAATTATATACTCATATAATAAATTTAATGAGATTGGCTTATATGAAAAACAAAAAAAGAACACTTTATTTTATTTGTCTTATAAATAGCGCCCGCTGCTCTTCACAATCTACTTCTTGTTCTACACGAATAATTTACAAAATGACTTAAAGAGATGATGCTGTACCTTTCTCTATTTCTTCGGGGATCCCATGAGGTGAGAAATGATCAAGATCTACAGAAGAACCTCGAGGGAAATGATCAATATCTACAGAAGAGCCTGCTTGTGTGGCCAGAGAAATAGGAACATATTCTTCCAACTGGGTTAAATGATGAAGATAAACATCCAAAGTTGAGGAAGAAGTAGGAGGAATGAATGGTTGAGGCTGAGTTGAACAATGAACTTGAACTTCTAAAATGGTAATAAGCAGACTCATAATTGTCATTTTTGCTAAATGACCCCTTGCAATGTCCATTACTTTTCCCCTTTAGATTTTCGATCCCCCTCTTTGGATTATGTTGTTGAATGAATGAAGAGCCAAGTGAGACTGGACTCAATTTATAAGATCTTCATATCACCTTTCATGAAAGTGACATTTTGCTATTATATATTTGGTTGCTTTTAAATTTAAATTATTTAGATTTTAGATCTTGGCCTTATAAATATCCTTATTATTCTGCATAATAATAAAGCTGTGAATTAATATTTATTTGATCCTATTTATAAGTTACTTCCAACGTGTTTCACACATATATACCAAGAAAAATTAAACCTTAAATTTCATTAATTCTCATTTAAAATTCAACAACTTTCTAACTTTATTTCTATTTAAGATATATATATATATATATATTATGCCTTATGTAAATAAAATCAACACAATAAGTCCAAAAAAAAAACAAAATCAACATAATAATAAATGAGAGTTAAAATTATACATTCAAACAAGAAATTTATCTTAGTGTCCTATAAAGAGGATAAAAAATATCTTCTCTTTGCTGTATAAATATGATAAGAGGAGTAAGTTTTATTTTGAAAGGGTATTACTGTTTAAGCACGGATCCCAAATTTGAGTTTTTGTGTAAATATAAAAGACGTATGAACTCCATTGGCAAAAAATAAAAGATGTATTAACTAATTGAATGGCATCTTTTTCATGTCACAAAAAATTGAGATAAATTGTATATGTATTTTTTTTTCTGGTTAAAGCATAAGTATCCTCTTATTGGAGGCAATTCTATTTGAGACATTGTCGGATACTAAATGTGAACACCTTTTCCAGTGGAAATTCGAACTTTGGTTCACCACGTTGTGGGAGACTAGCCTATTCCGCTAGACCCAACTCCCATTGATAATTGTATATGTATATTGTTTTCGTAGCAAGCTTTCAATACATGAAAGATCCACTACATACTAGAATGCGATAGTGGGTCGCCCTTTCAAACACCTCAATCTATGATTTTTTTTTTTTAACACATGCACACATATGAGTATGCATACGTATTAATTATAAATATTATTTAGAAATATAAGCACCCTTCTGATAATAAAACGAAAGTGATTTTTCATAAAATTAAAAAGTATTGGAGTGAGTTTCAAACAAAATTAGGAGAGAGAGTATATAAAGACCATAAAAAAATAGCAGTATTCCAAAGAGCAGATCAATAGTTATGTTTTATTTTTAATTTTATACTGTTTAAACAAAGCATAGGCAACATCAACTTTGAATGTAAGATCTCATTTAGGCATGACACGTAGCATTACTACAAGGGCGGCAAACTGCAATTGATAATCAAAAGTTATGTTTTATTTTTAATTTTATACTGTTTAAATAACGCGTGTGTCTGGTCAAAAAATAATAATAATAACAACGTGTGTGCACAAACACGTTAATTTTAACTTTGAATGTAGGATCTCATTGAAGTATAACACGTAACACTACTACTAGGGCGGCAAGCAGCTATTGATGATAAAAAATTATACTATTTAGATCTTAAATATAAGATCTCTTTTATACTCTACAAAAAAAATCTTATATTTACGACCAAAGAAGTATTGGATATATTGAAAATATTTAAAAATTAAATAAAAGTAGAATTATTGAAAAAAGAAGAAAATGAGAAACAGCATAAAAATAATATTTAAGAGATATAGAAAAATAAAATATTCTTTAAATAATATCTGTAAAAGAAAAAATATCTCCTTGAAAAAACAAGAAAAGATCAAATTGCTCCTAGAAACAAAAACATCACAAATGACAATTATATTATTATTGGGACAATTTTGACATTTTAATAAAAATATTACTCTTATACATATGAGTGAAGTTTGCTTAGTTTCTAAATATAAAACTTTAATTTACTTTATCTCTAAAATTTATACTTTGTTTTTTAAATTATTCCTTCTAATCACACTTATTAAAGGAGTTTTCAACGTAAATAGTTTCCAGTACAAATAACAAAAATAGTATTTTAGGAAATAAACACATATTTCTTACAAATAATTAATTTAAATAATTTTTATTTCTATAAATTGATAGCTTAGTTTCTACATATTTAGGATCGTAGTAACATTTTTTAAAACCATGTTTTGTACAATTGAAAAATGGTGGGTTTAATTATTAATTGAAGAAAGAAACGTTAAGATTGAATAATTGAAGTTTTTCATGGGAGATCAACTCTCGTGTAAACATGAGAATCCTTCTCATATGAGGGGAAAGAGTTATCTTAATTGGTTAATATCAACGGCATGATCTTTAAACTTTTGACGTGTGTAAAACTTAGTGCTCATGATAATCCTAATGAGTCAAACCGACATCCAATATGTAAATTAACAAGTGTTGATTTGGCTGCCAAGTCACCGTCTCCATAATCATCAACCTCCTACCTCCCCGCAAGAAAGCTCACCGCCGCTCAATTAACTGTTTTCTTCGGTATTTCCCCTATTAAAGGGTGATGCAGAAGAAGCACTGTTGCTGGAAGGGTGATGCATTGGAAAGTAGGAGTGGTGGAACTCCCAGAGAGCAGCTGCGAGTTTTCCTGCGGAGAAGAGGAAGGTTGATGATTGCGGAGATAGTGACTTTGCCGCCAAATCAACAACTAAAATAATTTACACGTCTGATCTTTCCTTAATGAGTTGGACTAACAAAGATTATTTTCTGAAAAGATAAAGCTAAGTTTTAAAAGAGTCAAAAATTTAGATATTGAGTCACACTGAGTCATCAGTTAATAAACCTAGTTCTCAGTAGAATTGAAGGACCAAAAAATATTTTCTGTTTTTTATAATTATTCATTTTATTTCATTTATGAAAGTTAGTACTTCCAAGACGTGATGATATTATCGTTAAAGTATACATTTACCTCTTTAATTTTTTTTATAGAAAGTTTTAATTTAACTGTTTAACTTTAAAAGATATATTTTTAATCATTTAACTCTAAAATTGTTAATAACAAATAATGATATTAAAATCCTAAATATTGATAAAATATTATCAAATACTAATATTTTAAGTTTAATTTTCAAAACAAAGATAATTGTTAAAAAATAACAATCATTTAAGTTTGACGAGTTTACGGTTAAAGAAGTAAATATATGCTTTTGAAAATTAAGGAACTAAATTAAAATCTTATACTACATCCGGTTATTAATATAAGAGTTAGTTGACTGATTTGAATAGATTAAGGAGATTGGTTATGTTAGTTATTTATAATAAATAAATATTATTTTTTCTAAAATAACCTTATTAATTAAGTATATTGGTTAAAAATATTATTATTACAGGAATTACGTTAAAAATAAATAAATAACTATAATAGATAAAATAAATTAAAATATTATATTTAAGATTAAAATAAAAATTAATCAAGCTTTTATATAGTATAAAGCGGGGATTGAGTACTCGCGTATAAGGGTGTTCAAGGCCGGCCCGTCCCGGTCGGCCCGTTCCGGTCCTGGTCTTATTGGGACGAGACTGATCCGTCCCGAAATTTTTCTGGACGGGACAAACTGGGACGGGACAAAAAAGGGACCGGGACAGGACGGGACACGGGACAGGGTCGTCCCGTCCCGGTTCCTTTTTTAAAAAAAAAATTTAATTTTTTTAATTTTTTATATAATATCATTTTTTTCATATTTTTTTAAGATTTGAGACTATTGTATGGAACTATGGATATATTTATTTAGAGTTTTTATATTTGTTAATGATTTGAGATTATTGATGATTAGAATTTTTAGCAAGTTTTTATTGTGTTAAAAGCTTTTGTTTAGAGTTTTTAATAACTATTATATGTAATATTTTGAGCTTTTGTTTAAGGGTGCCCAAACAAATAAAAAAGATGTTTTTATAAGATTTAAACTCAAAAAAATATAATTAAAAAAATCAGATTTTTTTAAAAAAATTAAAAAAAATAATTTCGGGACGTCCCGGCCCGTCCCGGATCCGTCCCGTCCCGACCGGGACCGGGATAACCCCGGGACGGGCCGGGACACGGGACAGAAAATCTGTCCCGTTACTGTTTACCGGGATGGAACCGTGACGGACCTGTCCCGGTCTCGATCCGTCCCGTGAACACCCCGCGTGGTCGAATTTTTTATCATGATCTTACACGCGTCTAATTTTCTGCCTTTCGGATAGCAAAACGAAAAATGGGAGGTTATGCAATGCATATGCCAGTGCGGAGAAAGCAAAGTTGCAGCATTTGTGGTTCCATCGCTCCCTGTTGTGGCGGCGCCGGCGAGAAGGTCAACAATGGCCGGCAATGTCGTCGACGGCGGGCAAGTCAGGAACAAGCAGGTGTTACTCAAGGACTTCGTCTCTGGCTTTCCCAAGGAGTCCGACATGCTCTTCACCATTTCGTCTGTCATTTTGAAGCTTCCAGAAGATTCCAATGGCGTCTTAGTGAAGAATCTCTATCTTTCTTGCGATCCCTACATGCGAATCCGTATGTCCAAGCAATTACTTCCTTCATATATCGAATCTTTCCAGCCCGGTTCGGTCGGTACACTCCTACTTCACTCTTCTATTGGATTATTGTTTATCATCCATATGAAATTGAAATTGTTGATCGCAAAACAGTAGTTTGGCACAAGGTTCGCACAGTCGCGCCGTTTGAATATGATGATGTATCGCGACGTTTTTAAGTCTCAATTTTATATTGTTTACTTTTTATTCATTAATTTATTGAATATATGCACACATTGTTCCTATATTTTAAAATTTTGAAAATTATCATATTTTATTTGTTGTATCGTTCGGTACTTGTGTGCGTATTGTTTCTATATGCTACTTCTTAAGCTGTATATTACTGTTCTCTGCATGTTCCCGACATAACATGAAATGAAACCATGTTAGGGCGAACGGTTTTAGCTCTTGACCTCTCTTGGTTTAAGTTGCATTCTTGTTAATTGTGGCTAATGATATTGTTTCTTTTGTTGTTGTAAACTGGCAGCCCATAAGTGGAGTTGGAGTTTCTGAAGTTATTGATTCTAGGAATCCAAAATTCAGCAAAGGTGATCTAGTATGGGGAAGAACTGGCTGGCAAGAATACAGTGTGATCGATTCACCAGAGTCCCTGTTTAAGATACAACACACAGATCTGCCTCTTTCCTACTATACTGGGATACTTGGTAAGCTGTTTTCTTCATTTGTCTTGTACATGTGTAACCAGGAAAAATAGATTTTGTGCTCGCCTCTTTTTCCCTTTCTTTGTTCTCCATTGATCTCTGTCCTTCTGTTGGAGATGCAGAGATTTGTACAACAGAAAGCCCACTAATGGTTGCCATCCTTGTAATAAATTTTGCTGATATTGTGAGAGGAAACATAGGGCTAGACTGCAGTTCTTTTTATGCATTTGATATTAGGATCCTTGATAAAGTTATAATGTGTACAAAGTTTAAAAACCCAATTATGTGATGTTGATTTCTGGACATAAGGAATTACTGTTCCATAACATTCACAATTCTTACAGAGGTTTATGGCCTATCTCAAAATACTAGCATCATACACAATTATGTTTTGATTTTTGAAAACATATACAGGGGAACTAGTTAAGTAGGGTGATGATTTCATAGACATCTAGATCTATGAAGATCTTTTTAACAAAATCGGGGTTTGGATTTGCATTCTTATGGTAGTTTCAATAGTTGAAGGCTTGCGTATCTAGTAATCTCACTTGAACCCCACTATATGTGTCCCACTTTTGTTTCTCCTCTTAAAATATTTCATTATCCAGAGTTATATCATTTATTGTTTCCTAATGAATCAGCATTTGATGAGGGAAGTAGAAGTAGAATAGGTGTGCCAAGACCATTTCTTATCTTCGTTGTAAGTTTGTTTTTATATGTTTCTTAAAGCTTCATTCACCAAGTACCCACATAAACATTACGTGCAGGTATGCCTGGTCTGACTGCTTATGTGGGATTTTATGAGATTTGTGCCCCTAAGAAAGGGGAGACTGTCTTTGTATCAGCTGCATCTGGAGCTGTAGGTCAGCTTGTTGGGCAATTTGCTAAGTTGATGGGTTGCTATGTTGTTGGAAGTGCGGGAAGCAAAGAAAAGGTAAGTAAATATAGCTTAGAATATAGAGCAAACTTGGTCGAGCGAGATTATTTTTTACTCTTTGTATCTTAACGGAGATTAGTCTCTACTGTCGGTGCCTCACTAAAAATAAGAAGAATAAAGATCACTTAAGTGGTTAACTTTTGTAACTAATCACAAGGTAGTCTAGCCTCTGATTGCAAAATCACAATAGCATACTTCTGTGCAAAATGCATGTGTGTTGAGACCTCAAACCACACAGTTTATTCACAAGTTTAGTAGCACTCATGTCACTCCAACATTTCTATGCACTATTTGTCGAATATATCTGATGTTGTTGCTTTACTTCGTCACCTCGGTGACACAGGTTGACCTGCTCAAGAGTAAGTTTGGTTTTGATGAGGCTTTCAACTACAAAGAAGAAGCTGACCTAGATGCTTCTTTAAAAAGGTTAGTGGTTATCTATTTTCTCATGATGCAGACTGCGCTGCATTTTGCAATGTTTTGGATCCATTTTTGAAAGAGTGAAAGTTGAATCGGTACTATTCAAATCTTGCTATCAACTTATCAAGAGCTCCCAAATGGTCAAATTAGCCTGTTTTTTCTTTGTCCTCTTTTCCCTCTCCCACGGTGACCTCATGAGAGAGAATTTTAACGGATGAGATTCTTTTCTTGTATCGGAGAATTTCTATTTGTTTTTTTGGGTTAGGGGAGAGAGAGAGGGAGAGAAGAGGTTAGGCCTTTATGACATGGGGTCTACATGGCATTGTTTGCTCTCTCTCGCTTATATTCTCCATTGTGTTCTTATATAAATATTATAAAAACTAGCTACTATTAGACAATGATAGTTGGAACTTGGAATATAATAGTGTGTACCTTATTTTTTATGCAAAGAGAAGAGAAGCACTTATTTTATTTGATAATCAACAGGACAGCTTTCTACAGTCTTGGAAAATTTGGTGGAGAGACTATTTTTTTTTTACCGTTATTTTCAATTACTTTCTCAAATCCAAATGCTGGGAAAGTTTATCATTTCAATTATTAAAACATAGATTCTTCTAAACTTCATTTATAATGAATTTGTTTCTTCCGTTTCCCTTTTATTTATGGCTTGATACTTAGAGCATGTTGCTTTCACTCGTAAGTCATGAGTTTGAATTAGGAAGCAGCTAAAGAAAACAGAAACAGCTGAACAAGGGAGGAGAGATATCACTATCTTATATAGTGTGTTTAATTTTGCAGGTATTTTCCAGAGGGTATCGATATATACTTTGAGAACGTAGGAGGGAACATGCTGGATGCAGCGTTACTCAACATGAGGGTCCATGGCAGAATCGCTATGTGTGGACTGATTTCACAGTACAACCTTGATAAGCATGAAGGTGTGCACAATCTGTTCAATCTCGTGAGCAAACGGATTCGCATGGAAGGTTTCCTGGTTCATGATCATTACCATCTCTACCCCAAGTTCATAGAGATGGTGATTCCACAGATCAAACAAGGTAAGATTGTTTATGTGGAGGACATTGCTCAAGGCCTTGAGAGTGGCCCTTCAGCCCTCGTTGGCCTCTTCTCTGGCCGTAATGTTGGCAAACAACTTATAGCAGTTGCTCCACAATGAGTCTGCATCCTTTGAATCAAATAATTCACTGTACGTAATGTTTTAAGAAAGATATATGGAGAAAATAATTACGATGTGTGATTCTGTGAAAATAGTGCTATAATAAGGAAATAGTCCATAATAATTTGTAACAAGTCAGACAAGCATGTGAGTGGGAACCTGCTTTGTTATCTTGCTTCTAAAGTGAGGCAGAGGTTTGGCTTGGTATTTGCAATGTGTTTTAAAACGACAAGATTTGGTTTATTATGATTGATTTAAGATTTTGGTTAACAATGTTTCTAAAGATTTTGTTGTTAATAAAGCATAAAGATATTGATATTGTGTGATTCATGTAATCAATTTTATGTTTTACTTAGCCAGATAAGGCTTTCACCTATACGTTATCTTTTTTCTTCCAAGGTTATTAACATTAAGTAAATAAATTTACCTCAAGCTTAAAATAGGTGAATTTCTTAGTGAGGCTATTGTTTTTTAGGAGTAAATATTGGGAAGAAGTTTTCCTTTAAAAATTTTATTGGTGAGAAAAACCTAGTAAAAGTACTCTTCAAGTTTTCATATGTATAATATTATTAGATCCTTCTTATTAATAAATTTTTTTATGAGAACTTTTCTCCCATTTCCTATCATTAGGTAATCGATCACTAAAACACATCGATCTTATCAATGCTGTTTTATAACCTTTGCAAGAAAGTTCTCATATAAAGTGAGAGGTTCACTTCTGATTTTAAATTATTAATGGCAATGCTCCCCATTCTAGATAAAGCTTTTTTTAAAAAAAAAATCTATTTCATTTGAACAATCACTTATTTAAATTGTAAAATTAATAATAAGGCTATTTTAAAAATACAAGGTGAGTATGAATTTGACGCATCCCACCGTTGAAATGCATCAACCACACTAGCAAAGAAATCTCACTTGAAAATTCGCGTAAATTTCCTTTTTCTGATTCCATGGCAAACCGGGGGATCGAAGTTGGATCTTATGGTTAGGTGTCAAGCGCTGCAACCATCCAATCCCAAAGCTATTCAAATTCGCATACTTTAGATTTGGCACCGCACTAATAGCAGCCGACATTTTTGTCCACATTGGAAATTCTTGGATTTTTTATTGTTATTAATTTTCTTCCCAAGTCTATAAATATCGTTTTAATGTATGCAAGATATTTGGGCAACCATACTACCAGAAAACACCAACTTCATTTAAAAATTTGTTTATTCCAGATCATTTAATTGAATTATGAGAAAATTGGAAAAAAAAATCTCTCATTAAAAACCTTATTAGTGATAACGAATTAAATTATAACATCATTATTCTATGTATACAAAATTTATAGAATACTGGTTATGTTTTGTACATAAAATTTATCAGGTTTTTCTCACCAACAAAATTCTTAATATATTTCTTAAATTATTATCGGAAATTGAAAATGCATGAAGAAACTACTCTATCCCTCCTTTTTTATAAGCAATATTAGAACTCATCATGTAGATTAAAATGTTAGTTAAAATTAGTTAAAAACAATATGTAGAAATTAGAAGTTTTTTCTGTAAAATGCCTTTATTTATAGGGGAAGAAAGTATAAAAAAAAGTAAGAAAATTATTATAATAAAGAGAATTATGAAAGAGAAAAAATATGTGATTAAAAGATGATAGTTTAAAAAATAAAATAATAAATATACTAAGTATTAAAATGAGTAATTACTGGGAGTAAAATAAAAAATTCGTTATAAAAATTTAAGATAACTTATAAATATTATTTATATTTAGAGGTAAAAGAGAGACGGTAATTATTGTTTACAAAAAGACGGAGGGAATAACAAATTTCATTTAGGTAGCAATCTATTAACGTCCATAAGCGTCTTGCTTCTGCATTTGCCTTGTCCAGCCACGAGTAGAGATAACAGAATCTGTGGCTTGAGACAGTCAAGGGTCTCTCTGTTCCTTTGCGGTAAGCTCATCGCGGCGACGGCGACGGTGACGGTGACGGTGAGAAGCTCTCGATGGCCGGCAATGTCGACGGTGGAGAAGTCCGAAACAAACAGGTGTTACTCAAGGACTTCGTCTCTGGCTTTCCCAACGAGTCCGACATGCCCTTCACTACTTCCTCTGTCAGTTTGAAGCTTCCGGAAGGTTCCAGTGACGTTTTAGTGAAGAATCTCTATCTTTCTTGTGATCCCTACATGCGAAACCGTATGTCCAAACCATTACGTCCTTCATATGTCGATTCCTTCCAGCCTGGTTCGGTTCGTACTCTCTCCACTTCACTCTTCTTTCTTGTTTGGAATATTATATTGCTATTATTCGTACGGAATTGTAATTATTGATCATAAAACAATCGAACAGTAGTAATTTTAGTTTTTTGGGGTTGATCACGGAACGATGCGCTCATTGTTTTGTATGATAATCACTTTTTAATGCCTCTTCATCAGTTTTCACTGGTCACAAAACATGGAAGATTATGTTCAGGACTTACAGTTTATAGAGTTTTGAGTTGTGTTTCTGTGTAGTCTAACTGATGATGATATTTGTTGTTATAAATTGACAGCCAATAATCGGATTAGGGGTTTCAAAAGTCATTGATTCTGGGAATCAAAACTTCAGAGAAGGTGATCTAGTCTGGGGAATGACTGGTTGGGAAGAATATAGTGTGATCAGTTCGACAGAGTCTCTGTTTAAGATACAACACACAGATCTGCCTCTGTCCTATTATACTGGAATACTTGGTAAGCCGTTTTTTACCCCATTTGTTTGTGCTTATGGGTAAGGTTGGGGAGGAGCAGAATTATGTTTTTCAGATGAGTAATACTACCTCCAGTCCTTAATATAAGAGCTAGTTTGACTTTCAATTTAGTTCTAAATATAAAATCATAATATATTTTATCTCTAATATTTATCTATTTTTTCCTCAAATAATTTGTATAGTAGTTGCATATGTTAAGGAGTTACTATCAATTTGTAATTCAAACACACATGATTAATAAGGGCATTTTGGAAAAGACAACATATATATACTACAAATAACTAACTTAATTGACTTTCTTAATCTCCTCAAATTAACTAACTGAGTTTTATATTGAGAACTAAAGGTAGTAGTAAACCAACTTATTTGCCATTGATACCCACACATGCTTCTCCTAGAGAGGAGATATCAATAATGCGCAATGACAGAGTACCCCAGAATGCTTGTCTATAATTTATGCTTAAGATCAATTTTGGTGATAGTGAGGTAGAAGGCAAAGCGCAAGGATTAGATGCAGTTTTATACTGTTGTTATTAGGCTCCTGAATGAATTTATAACTTGAGTAAATAGGTGCGTATTTATTGGTCTGCAAAGACAAGTTGTTATGTTTGTTTGAAGTTTGTTTTTAATGAGAGTTGCGGTAAGGTGTCATGGCAGGAATATATTTGCAAAAAACAAAAAGTCCTATAACAAATGAATAGTTTGTAATGATAGGTTTTAAAATAGGAAGTGATAATTAATTTCAGCTGCTAACTTGTTATTGGGATTTTTAGTACTTATTTTCTATTGCTCGGACATCACTGTAATTCCTCTTATTTTTACATGTTTCTTAAAGCTTTGTTCACCAAGTACCAACATAAGCATTACGTGTAATGTAGGTATGCCTGGTATGACAGCTTATACGGGATTTTATGAAATTTGTGCCCCCAAGAAAGGGGAGACTGTGTTTGTATCAGCTGCAGCTGGAGCTGTGGGTCAGCTTGTTGGGCAGTTTGCTAAGCTGATGGGTTGTTATGTTGTTGGAAGTGCGGGAAGTAAAGGAAAGGTCACATAACTTCAACCTCTATGTTTTGTAGTCAATACTCTCTTCTTCGCTCTTTAATATAAGATCTAATTAACTAATTTAAAGGAATCAAAAGAACTAAAAAATTACTTTAAAATATTTATATTTATCGTTTTCTCTAAACTGATTGGCCTAACTTATAAATTAATATATAATCTAATGGTACACATAAGTATATCAGAAATATCATGTAACATATGTTATAGTTAAGTAATTTTTTAATTTTTTTAATCTCTACAAGTTAGTCAACTAGATCTTATATTAAGAACTAAGGATAGTATAATTTTAAGGTTATCTAACCACTGTCTGCAAAATCACAAAAGCATACTGTTGTGAAATGTGCGAGATTAATGAAGTTTCAAAGTACTAGATGATTTATTGTCATTTTGTGTGGCACTCGTTTAATTGTATCATTATTATTTATTACTCCTCCGGTTCTTAATATAGAACCCAATTGTTGAATTAGTTTTGATCCTAAATATGAGACCCATTTATCATATTTATCAATTTTCTCTAAATTACTCCTATGGATACTTTCTCAACCATAATCAAGTAAAAGAGGGAGATGGAGTATTAAGAAAGATGATTATGGTGTTTTAGGAAAAATGTATCACTTTTCTTATAATTAACTAACTTACCTAACTTTTTTAATTTAATCAAATTAATTAAATGGGTCTTATATTAAGGACCGGAGAAGTTCTTCCTTAAATTTATTTGCCGTAGTTCAACCCCTTGATCAATTCTTCAACGCAGGTTGACTTGCTCAAAAACAAGCTTGGATTTGATGAGGCTTTCAACTACAAAGAAGAACCCAACTTGGATGCTGCTTTGACAAGGTTAGCTGTTGTCATAATCTATCTCCGGTCCTTAATATAAAAACTAGTTGACTAATTTGAGTAGATTAAAGAAACCAATTAAGTTAGTTATTTGTAATAAATAGATGTTATATTTTTTAAAATATCTTTGCTGATTAAGTGTATTGATTATAATTATTATTATTATAAAGACTGCTTTGGAAAAAAAATGGATATATACGGAGATAAAGTAGATTAGGGTCTTATATTTAAAATCAACATAAAAGTCAAATAAGGTCTTATATTAAATACTAGAGGTAGTACAAGCTATGACTTGCTCAAAAGTCAAAATGTTAGCGACTTTTTTGTTCAAGTGAAGGTCTGAGATCCAGCAAGTTTCGTTTGGTCTTGACGATGGCCAGTTACCCTGTTTTTTCTTTGTCCTGTTTCGTGGCCCTCATTATGGCTGCATAAAAGAGAAAATCAATTAGGGTGAGATGGAATGGAAGACTACGGAAAATAAAGGCTGGGGTATTCCCTCAGAATTCCAAAGTGACTTAATCCCTGAAAAATCTCTTGGTAGATGACAAAAGGAAATCTGTTGGTACACTTATTCAAATCATTCATATTCTCTGGAGATTTCAACAAGTCATGTTGGAATCGAATAAGTTCATGTTTCATTAGAGTTTGAAATGAGTAAAGCTTTGACTTAAAAGTCATTTTAGAGTTAAACATTCAAAAACGGGTTTAATGTATGTTTTTTAACCCAAGAAGCCATTTTGAGATGGTTGAAACATCATTCCAAACATAGCCCATATCATATTCCTATGTAACTTGAAAAAAAGGTGTTGACCATAGGGTCCAAAACTTCATATAAGATTACAAGACAAACACATGAAATTTTGTTATTAATAATTAACTTGTTCAATCTGTTCTGCTTCATTTGTTGATATTACCTCATAAATCATAATTAAACATCTAGACAAGGTAGAAGAAACATCATCATCTAATCTATCATGTGTTTTCCTGTCAGGCATTTTCCAGAGGGAATTGATATATACTTTGACAACGTCGGAGGGAAGATGCTGGATGCAGTGTTGCTCAACATGAGGATCCATGGCAGAATCGCTGTGTGTGGAATGATTTCACAGTACAACCTTGATAATCCAGAAGGTGTACACAATCTGTTCAATCTTGTGAGCAAACGGATTCGCATGGAAGGGTTTCTGGTTACTGAATATTACCATCTTTACCCCAAGTTCTTGGAGAAAGTGATTCCCTTCATCAAACAGGGCAAGATTGTTTATGTGGAGGACGTCGTTGAAGGCCTCGAGAATGCCCCTTCAGCTCTCATTGGCCTCTTTCATGGCCGCAACGTTGGAAAACAACTGGTGGTGGTCGATCCAGAATGATTTCGTACCAGTCAGGGGCCTTTGCTTGGAGGCAACTCATTCTGTTGAAATGCCGATAAATTTCTACCGTCGGAGTTTGGTAACTCTCAAGAACACCTTAAAAAATGTTTTCATGCAAATCAAAACAGAATATTTTTCACTTAGTTAAATTGCTTGGCACAAAAATGAGAAGGATCTAAATTTTCTTTCTCTCCCTCTTTCAATTTCCTCAAAAAATCCCACATGATGCAGTAAGAACCCATAGTCCCATGCACTGCCTAGAATAAAATATACACGGGTTCTGACTGCTAGGAATGTAAAGTTCTGCAGAACATTCCACGGATTCCCTATATTTAAATAAAAAAATCCCAACTAGTTGATTTTAAAGTTTAAACTCATGAATTCTTTTTCCTTCTAGCTTTGACGATTATATGGAATTAAATCGATATAACTTTACTTCACCTCCTAGAAAATAAATAGGTTCTTAGTTACATATATTAGTACTTTCAATCATAAACATAAGATCTAATTCATAGTAACTCAATATTATACTCCTACTATTTTTAATATATGACCTAATTCACTAATTTGAGTGAATAAAAGATGTTAGTTAACTTTACTTAATATGACATATTCTTTCTAAAATATCTTAAAATACTCCTTAATTTCCTTCCTTCCTCTTCTATTTGATTATTTTTGTAGGAATATTAGTAAGATTAATTTAGAAAAAATTGATAAACATATGAAATGAATCTTACATATAGGATTAACATCAACTTCTCAATTAGTTTTTTAATATGCAGAACAGAAGGTAGTATAAAATGACTCAATTATGCCAATTATCACATCTAGCTACACTTATAGGACTACCACCTCCAGATCTTAAGGCCCTGTTTGGCAGAGTGTTAGAAATTACTTATAAATACATTTTACATAAATCGAGATAAAACTTTTCTTATATATTTACCAAAATTGAAAAGAAATGAATAAAAAAGAAGAAGGATATTCTTTTAATTTTACTGTAGATTGAGATATAGCTAATTCTGTAGGCAAATTAGCTATAACGACCCCATGCTAAATGCAAATTCCTAAGATACGGTAGACACAAGTATAAATATTGTGAAAGGACGTTGTACTTCATACCTAAATTAATGTAAATACCCAGCTAATATACTACCTCCGGTTCTTAATATAAGAACCAGTTTGACTTTTTGTTTGGTCCTAATTATAAGACCCCAATCCATTTTGTCTCTCATATTTATGCATTTTTTTTCCAAGATAGTCTTTCTAATAATGATAGTTCTAGCCAATACACTTAATTAGCAAGGATATTTTGGGAATGACAACACTTATTTATTACAAATAACTAATTTAATTTACTTCCTTAATCTCCCCAAATAAATCAACTGGGTTTTATAATTAGGACCGGAGGTAGTATATAGTTTAGTTTCTTACATTTAGAAAATATATTCTTAGTCTCGTAATCTTACCACCATTAATTTTATTTAACAAAAAAATACTAACTTTATAATTAAATGTTGACAAAGCATGATCTAAAATAATTATGTAATATGATTATTTTTATAAATGCTTAAATTTTAATATTTCATTAAATTTCTGACTACTTAAATGTTTAAATTTTAATATATAAAAATTTGACTGGAGAGTTACTATTTAAAAACTAAACATATATTTTATAAATTTTGTTAACTAAATAAGGTCGAAAAAAGAAGACTAAAATAAAACTTCATGTACTAAATAATTAAATTTTTGATAATAAAATCCACGTCATTTTTAATGCTCATGCAGTACCCACCTTTATAACTTGCCCCGCTACGGCGAGAGTCGGCGGAAAGCTCCAGAACTTGTGATCTGTGGCAGCGAAGTGGTCTCTTGGTTTCTGTTCGAAGGCTCGTTTCAGTGAGGGCGATATTGAGAAGGTCACGATGGCGAACAATGTCCAAAACAAGCAGGTCATCCTCAAAGACTTCGTCTCTGGCTTTCCGAAGGAGTCCGATATGCTCATCACCACTTCCTCTGTCAATTTGAAGCTTCCGGAAGGTTCCAATGGCGTTTTGGTGAAGAACCTCTATCTTTCTTGCGACCCCTACATGCGAGGCCGTATGTCCAAACCATTAGTTTCCTCTTATGTTGATTCCTTTCAGCCTGGGTTGGTGAGCACTCTCTCCATTCCATTCTTGGATTATTGTTAATTATTCGTATGAAATTGAAATTGTTGATCCCAAGGCAATCGAACAGCGGTTACAATTTTTGAGGCCTCTAACGGAACGAAGTTCATTGTTTGTTACTAATTTATTATCATTTTTGTTGTTGATTTATATTCCCTATGAAGCACCGATGCTCAAAATATAAATAAAAATGAAGATCGTCATTTACTTTTCGATGAAAACTCTACTTTGCTTGATGTTTTTATCAATAATATGTTATGAATATCTTATTTTATGTTTAGAATACTTGTTTAAAAAAATCAATTTCTTTTGTGTTATGCGGTAAGTTTTAAAATTATGGTACCTGACAAATCGTGTTATATATAACATGTGCCGTACTTTTCAACGCATGTTTGTGACTTTATCCAGTTCGATTTCTTGGATCAGGATGATAGATAGTAGATAACTATTTTGGACAAGTCATTGTCAATTTTGATAACATGAAACCTGTTGTCTAGAATGGAGGGTTGCAGTTTATAAGCTACCCTGTTCATCACTATTAATATTGTCGCTATTAACTTCACAGCCAATCAGCGGATATGGAGTTTCAAAAGTTATTGATTCTAGGAATCAAAACTTCAGAGAGGGTGATCTAGTCTGGGGATCAACTGGGTGGGAAGAATACAGTGTGATCAGTTCGCCGGAGTTACTGTTTAAGATCCAACATAAAGATCTGCCTCTTTCATATTATACTGGGATACTTGGTAAGCTGTTTTCCCATTTGTGTGTGTACTGGACATGATGTAAGTTTGACTAAGTTTTCCAGATAAGTAATTATTCTACTAGGCACCACAAAAGAACTAATTAATCATGGTGAATGTTAGTTTTATTTACTTCAATGCCATTGTGACTATAACTTTGCAAACGAGACGGATTATTTTTACAGGGCATAGTTCCATTTTCTTGCAAGCCAATGCGGCTGTTGCTTCGTTTGAATGCGTTGGCCTGCCCAAAAATGAACTATGACCAATTGTATATTTTACTCAGTCCCCCCCCCCCTTTTGTTGTTTTTTTTATTGGGGGGGGGGGGGAGCCAATCTAGCCATTCTATTATACTTAGTTGTCTATAAAGAATCAGGGACTGGAACTACATTCATATAATAACTTTAATTGTTGAAGACATACGTGTCGAGTAATCTGGTTTCTATCAGATGCACACCACTGATCTCATCTGTAGTTTCACGTTCAATCTATTCTTGATAAAGGAAGTAGAGTAGAAAAGAAGTGTATTTATTGGTTCGCAGAGACAAGTTGTTGTCAAGAAACCAAAAAAGAGACAAGTTGTTGTCTTTATTTTACATTTGATTATGCTTGTTTCTTAGAGCTCCACCAAGTACCATGATAAGCATTACATGCAGGTATGCCTGGTATGACTGCTTATGCGGGATTTTATGAGATCTGTGCCCCTAAGAAAGGGGAGACTGTATTTGTATCAGCTGCATCTGGAGCTGTGGGTCAGCTTGTTGGGCAATTTGCTAAGCTGATGGGTTGCTATGTTGTGGGAAGTGCAGGAAGCAAAGAAAAGGTAAGACAATTTCAACCATTTAGTTTTGTAGTTAATTGTAGGGGAGTCCAGCCACTGATTGCAAAATCACGGCAAATCACAAAAGCATACTTTTGTGAAGTGGGTGAGACTAATGAAGTTTCAGACTGCTTGATTTATTCTCAATTCGTGTAATGCTCAGTAAATGCCTCACTATTATTTATTACATCTCTGAAGTTATGTTATTGTTCCATCCCTTGATCAATTCAATAACGGAGGTTGACTTGCTCAAGAGCAAGTTTGGATTTGATGAGGCTTTCAACTACAAAGAAGAAACCAACTTGGATGCTGCTTTGAAAAGGTTAGCTGTTGAATGTTCTCTCCTAATACAGGCTGTGACTTGCTCAAAAGTCAGAATGTTAGTGGTTATTTTGTTTAAGTGAAGGTTTCAGATCTATTTGGGTTTGAGTTGACTCGGTACTGTCTAAATCCTTCTGTTGTGGGTGTTCGTGTGGCTTGAAATTCTGAAATCCTCCTCCCTTTATTTTGTTTTCCCCCTTTTTTCATCGATAGCGAATTTCCCTCATCTTGACTTGTACCCCCTGTTTTCTTAAAATGCTAGTAACCCTGTTTTTCTGTATCCTGTTTCCTTCCCCCCACTGTCACAATGTAAAAAATGGAAAATAAGGGATGAGAGATTGAGTGGAAGATTATGAAGTTAGACCCAACCCACAAGCAATTTGATTTGGCTTGTTCCATCCATTCAGATTAAATAAGTTAAATGACTGATTGGAGTTTGAATGAAGTTAATAAAGTTTGCGCAATTTGATTTTACAAAATTCTCAACAATAGGATTCGAACTTAATCATGCAAGAGTAAAAGATAAACACTTGAAATGTTGTTAATAATTAGCCTTTTTTCCTATCTCCTTTGTTTGTATTTTTCCTTTACAAGTAAATATCTGGACAAGAGAGAAGACAAATCAGTATCTTATGACGTGCTTTTTTTTTTTTTTCCCTTTTCTCCTGATAGGTATTTTCCAGAGGGTATTGATATGTACTTTGAGAACGTAGGCGGCAAGATGCTGGATGCAGTGTTACTCAACATGAGGATCCATGGCAGAATCGCTGTGTGTGGAATGATTTCACAGTACAACCTTGATAAGCCTGAAGGTGTACACAATCTGATGCATCTTGTGATCAAACGGATTCGGATGGAAGGTTTCCTGGTTAATGATCATTACCACCTTTACCCCAAGTTCTTGGAGACAGTGATCCCCCTCATCAAAGAGGGCAAGATTGTTTACGTGGAGGACATTGTTGAAGGTATCGAGAATGCTCCTTCAGCTCTCATTGGCCTCTTCTATGGCCGCAATGTTGGGAAACAAGTGGTGGTGGTCGATCGACAGTTATTTTTGACCAATCAAAGCTTGTGATTGCTCTGTTGCAAATTGTCTACAAATTGCATTTGAGGTTAATTTGGCTTTTAAGATATGAAGTTTTCAAAACGAGGTAAGTTATGGTGGAAGGGGAAGCAATCATGAATTTAAATAGTTTATACAATAAGTAATAATTTTTGAGTGCTTTCTTATTCAGAAATAGTTTTGCATTCGAAAAAGGTTAAGAGAGAAATTGTTCTCTTAGCACGCTTCTTAGTCACGCAGTACATACACTGTACCTCCACTCCAATGCATCCGCGCAGCCTAATTCCAAATGCCAGCGCTCAAGCATAATGGGCTCCTCTTCGTGATTGCGCTCATTGGTAAACATAAAAATGCTTTACATGTGACATAATTATATGTGTGTATTCGGTTTCCATCGTATTTATAAGACACTTGGAGGTTTTTAAACAGAATTAATATGGGCAAAGTAGGAAATTTGTAAAATTTTAAACAAACAAAATTAGTAAATTTCAAAGGTTTTCTTAGTTCATTGAAAAATGTTAAAAATGACTAATAAATAAGAGGTAAAGATCTTATCTTTTAAGACATTCTGATTTTTATTCATTGACTATGGTACGTCTAAGATCTTATAAATTAGAGTGATAAATGTAATTAAAAAAAAGTATTATGATGCTAGATGGCTAGATGTATTACAAATAAATTTAAAATGCAAAATATATATAAATAAAATTAAAATTAGGGTGCTGAATAGTTTATTCTAGATAAGATGGAGGGAGTGCGTGCGCATCACTTTCTTGGCTATGATTTCAATGGTGCGGCTTTGCCCTCTTTTGCCCCACCGTCTCCCGAAAAGGATGCGGGGGTTTATTGAAACCCCGTTGTTTTCGTCAATTTACACGTCACTTAAGGTAGAGCTAAAAGGATACACCTAATCTTTTGGTATCTCATAATCACCTCAAATATTTTTAAAGAAATTCTTAAATTATACTCTTCCGCCTTTTAAAATAGGACTCAATTTTTGAATTGGTTTTGATCCTAAATATAAGACTCATTTCTTATATTTATCAATTTTCTCTAAATTACCCTTATAGATATTCTCTCAACTATAATCAAGTAGAAGAAGGAGTATTAAGAAAGATGATTATGGTGTTTTAAGAAAAATGTGTTACTTTTTTTATAATTAACTAACTTACCTAACTTCTTTAATCTAATCAAATTAGTTAAATAGGTCTTATATTAAGAATCTGAGAAATATAAAATTATATATTTTTGGTACACATATCACTTCTTTGGCTATATGATTTGAATGATGAAGCCTTGTCTGCTTCATTTTGTCTCCTTGTCTTCTGTTAAGCTCGTGGAGGTTTAGAAAAGTAAAATAGTTCTCAAATCATAAAAAATTATAGTATATTTATTTAAAAGCATGGACCTACATTTGTATCCCTAAAATTAAAATAATCAATTATTATCTAGTATCACATACTTGATTAATGTAAAATTTCAAAAAATTTTCCCTCAATATAAACCATTTCGCAATGAAAATTTACATTGCTAATTAAATCAAGTACTCTTAAAACCTTTCTTTGTGTTTTTCTTAATATAAATACTATTTTCTTACTTCATTATGATACCTAATTATTTGATTGAAGAATTTTTTTTGGATATCTTATTCTTTTATTAATTTTTTAAATTTAGAATCAAATTAAATATCAAACTAAACCGTCTACTTCATTATAAATTTTTTTAATAGTTGCTTCCGTCTCGTGTCCGTGGTCATATTTAATTACATGACAATTATATACGTATACACATACTACCTCATATGCTTATCCTTGCAGACTTCAAATTTGACGACATCCAACTTCATTATCTTGGTATTGAAATCTGACTTGAGTTACTCAATGAGATTATCATGACAATTTTTTATTTTATTTTATTTAATTACTTATAAGCTTTTTAATTGTGATTATACGGGGGTGTGAGAAGAATTTTGTGTAAAGATATTTATTTTCAAACAAATTAACTCGTGGACCACCGACTATCCCAATTTAATTATTGTGGAAAATATTACCTCTGGTCCTAATTATAAGAGCTATATGACTAATTTGAGAAGATTAAGAAAATAAGTTAAGTTAGTTATTTGTAACAAATATGTGTTGTCTTTTCTAAAATATCCTTGTTAATGAAGTGTGTTGGATAGAATTACCATTATTAGAAGGATTATCTTAGGAAAAAAATATATAAATATTAAAAACAAAATGGATTTTGATCTTATATTTAGGACTAAAATAAAAATCAAATGAGGTATTATATTAAAGACTGGAGGTAGTACATATTTAAAATTGGAACATAAAAACAAATTTGGACGTCTTACTTAATTAAGCAATCCATCATTTTAGAAACTATTTATCAATTAAATTTTTAATGGAAGATTTATTCCCAATTTTTTTTTATTTAATTAAATTATATTATTTTAATTATGTTTCGATTCATCATATTATAACACTGAGTTTATTTGAAATAACTTATAAATAATTTTTTAATTATGATTTATGAGGTATTATTTTCGTGAACGAAATTGTTTTCAAACAAATTAACTCGTGGAGCACTGACCATCCCAATTTAATGATTGTGGGAAATACATATTTAAAATTGGAATATAAAAACAAATTTGGACCATACGTCTTTCTTAATTAAGCAATTTCAGACTTCCTGCTTGGTGCCCACAATCAGAAAGAGAACAGATAGACGAAAGCCAAAAATGGCGTCAGAAACAGAGAGCAAAAAGCATTATGTTCTGGTGCATGGTTCTTGCCACGGCGCTTGGTGCTGGTACAAGCTCAAGCCACGGCTGGAATCCGTCGGCCACCGCGTCTCGGTGGTAGACCTTGCGGCTTCTGGCATCCACCCCGCCAAAATTGAAGACCTTCGTTCCTTATCGGATTACTCTGAGCCTCTGCTCAAGCTGTTGGCCGACCTCCCTGCCGGAGAAGAGAAGGTGGTTCTCGTCGGGCACAGCTACGGCGGCATGAACATAGCCCTCGCCGCCGACCTCTTCCCGCACAAGATAGCGCTTGCCGTTTTCTTAACCGCCTTCCTTCCAGACACCAACCATAAACCATCCTACGTCTTAGAACAGGTGCGTACCCCTCTCAGATTTCTGATTTTGATTTTCTTTGGGATATATGATATGGATTTGTATTTGGATTATCATAAATCATAGTTTTGATATAAAAGCATAAAATTATTTATGGTTTTGAGCCATCATCTATAATTCTTGGAATGTATCAACAGTTTCTAGAGAAGATCCCAAATGTTGCATGGTTAGACACAGAGATCTGTGATCGTGGGAGCTTAACAACTTTGTCGTTTGGTCCAAAGTTCCTGTCCTCTCATCTCTATCAACTCTGCTCCAAAGAGGTACTGATCACAGTGTTTTGAGTCCCACGTTGGAAATCTCATAAGTGTCGTGGGTTTATAAGTTTAATATATTCTCCTTCCTAATTGGTTAGTCTTTTAAACGAACTTTTGATGTTCATAAAAAAGATTACCCACAGAGGGTTCTAACCGGCAGGAGACTGAGTGAAGTACCGTGACTTGAAGCTGTCAAAGGCTTTGGGGAGAGTCTTTGAACTTATAAGCATGCTTCCTCATAAAGCTCCCATGTCTGATACAAGAATGGATTTACTTTTAGACTTAAAATGGTGGGAAGAAATGTAATTGAATTTTTGCAGGATGTGGAATTGGCAAAGTCATTGATGAGGCCATCGTCCTATTTTGTGGATGACTTGTCTAAAGCAAACAACTTTTCTGAAGAGGGATTCGGATCAGTTCCACGAGCTTTCATTGTTTGCAATCAGGACCTGGCAATTCTAATGGAATTTCAATTATGGATGATCCAAAATTCTGGGGTTAATGAAGTTCTGGAGATTAAAGATGCGGATCATATGGCAATGCTTTCTCAGCCCCAAGAACTCTGTGATGCTCTCCTTTGCCTTGCTTCTAAATATGCTTAGATTCATTCATGTTGCTCCATGTCTTTCTCTTTTAAAATATTACCTCCAGTCCTATTTATAAGACCTCATTTGTAGTACAAATAAGACCTGGAGGTAGTACTAATTGGATGCCAAGAGAAAGAGACTTCAATAAATTGGAGTTTTGCAGGTGTGTGTTTATACTTTTATAGTTTGTGAAATGAACATTTACAAAAACTGAATTGAGCTTTTTGTCTAAAACTAGCTACTTTGACTTGCATATGGTTTTGAACAAAATTTAGAAAATAAAATATTAGAGAAGTTTCATTGAGGCATTTCAAGAAAAATAATCCATAAAATCAACTAATATCATTAAAAAAAAATTGGAAGAGCATATGCAAGCATGTATAGAGGTGTCAAGAAATTGGCCATCCATGTAGGTCTCAAGGTGGGTGACCTCATTTTCCAGGGTGGTAATTAAGATCATTTCATTAATAATGGCACTCCATTAATGATCATGATAGCAGACTAAGAAGATTTTAAACCTCACATGCTCACAGGACTCCATACATTTTGCAGACATCATGACTAAAACTGTTCATGCACTACACAAAAAAAAAAAGTTTATTCTCATGATTTTGTGCTAATTTTCAACGAATTAGCTTATCCAAATAGCTATAAAATAATTAAAGCTAATTGGATTCCGTCTATAATTATAATTACCATCATTAAATGTCACTAAATTTCATCCGTAAGCACATTTTTTCATAATGATGAGAGCAATTCTTCTATTTCTTTTAATTCCATCTACGCACGTGAGAGGAGATGATACCCTCACATCTTGTAAACTCTGGTTTGTATATTTAGGCTTTCCCTGCCACTCTTAGAATTTGAAGAAGCTGCCTAAACATGTTGGCCTAACTCTTGTCAGCTTGGCTAATACTCCCCCCGTCCCTTTTTAAAAGTAACTTTGAATTTCGTATATAGTTCAAAAAGTTAGTTAAAGAGAGTAAATAGATAAAAACTAAAAGGTTTTTTATTCAAAATATCCTTCTTTATGAAAAAAGAGAGAATGTGAATGGAAAGAGATGATGGTTTGAAAAATGAGATGATAAATATATTGAGTATTAAAATAAATAATTAATGAAAACAAAATAGAAAATTGCTACAAAAAATTTAAGACAAATTGTAAATATTGCTTATATCTAAAAGACGAGCAAATTATAAAAAGAATGGAAAGACTGAGTTTTTTTTTTTTGGCCTGAAAAAGACTATGAGTTTAGAGTCATAAAATCTGATAATTCAAATTTTGTCATTTGCTCACAGCCGATCCTATTGATTAGGCTCAGAGTCGAACCTGAAAGCTTGCGTAATTTTCTAACTTACAATTCATTGGTATGATAATGCATAAATAAAATCTTCAATGACCTCGAATAAATGTCTAAAGTAGCAAATTAAGCTCTAAAAGCCAAACTAAATAATACTATTTCGGTCCTTAATATATGACTTTATTTGACTTTTATCTTAGTCCTAAATATGAGACCCCAATCTATTTTGTCTCTTATATTTATATATTTTTTAAGGTAGTCATTCTAATAAAAATATTTTAGTTTTAGCTAATACACTTGATTAGTAAGAATATTGTAGGAAAGATAACACCTATTTATCACAAATAACTAACTTAACTTATTTCTTTAATCTTTTCAAATTAGTTAACTAACTCTTATAATTAAGACAAATGTAGTATAAATACAAGTGTTTAGTACTCATTATCATCAAAAATAAAATGTGACCTTAGGATGCGGTGCTGTGTATAGTTACTGCTGGCTGCTGGGAGGACTTTCTGAACCAGAGGGTCCGAATCTTACCCAGAAATAGATGCATTCGCGTGTCACATCACAAATGGGACGCCGAAGATTGATTTGGACAATGCAGACGCCGCAACGCAAAATCAGGATTCAGAAAATGGTGATTATGGACGTTAGTGTTTGTGATACTGAATTCTCAAAATTCTCAATCGGTGCCTTGCGTCCTGTGATTCCATTACCAATGAAGAATCTCGCCGAATCTCACCACGTGCCCTCTACCTCATCCGATTCTGGCCGCGGTTCTACTCGTCTTCTTCCCTGCCTCCAATTTAACATATTCTGCACAATCGAGCTTCAGTGCCTTCATTTAAACCAACATACTGAAAGATCTCGCGGCGCCCAATGTCCCATTCTCTCTGTTTCGCCGGGAAATCTCAGAGAACAGTAGAACGATTGGAAGACAGAATGTAGATGAAAGGTACATAATCTGTTGATTTTCACCTAGTATCGTCGTTGACTGCATATTGTGTTGCCATTTTGATGAATTAACGTCGAGCATCAGTTTGTTCCTTAGAATGTCCATATTCGGTGAAATGCGACGATGAAAATCGGAAATCATACCTTATTTTTGCGAATTAAGCTTGTCTTGGCATGTGGAATTGGAATTGTTTTGTGTATTTGCGATGAATTTGGTGTACGAAATTAAGTAATTTTTTATGTGTGATGATGCAGTAAATAAGGCAGTTTAGTGTTTAGTAGCTCTCCCTTCAATGACGGCTGAGGCACTAATTCCTCTACTTGAGTGCGATATGGAAGCTGCGAATGAAAATTGTTCAGCCTCCCCAGGCGATGAAATGAATAAACAGGACAGTCCGAAAATCCAATCTTCAAAGGATAAGATTCCTGGAGGCGAGTTTGGAATGATGGACTCATCTGTGCTTTTGAATTTGTCTCCGTGCCTCGAAGGAAGTAAATTAGCAGAAGTTCAAGAGGTCGCGAAAAAGAGAGTCTCACATGGCGATCAAACTAATTGCTTATTAAGAACAAAAGATACAGGAAACTGCTCGAATGATTCTTCTTTAATAGTTGAATCTGGAGTTAATAAGAGTCAGTCACATAATCTCCATGGCAACAGAGAAAGGCTTCCAAGGAGCTACTGGAGACCAATTGGATGGGCAAGAATTTCTGAGCTTATACAGACCGTTCAGGTTGAAACTGAGTGGGCCTCATCAGAATCGCGTGGTTTCTCAGATGAAGAAACTGATGTCACTGCCGCAGATGTTGCAACCCCTTGCTGGGAACGGCCGGTGGGTCCGACTTGGTGGTGTCATGTGGATGCAGGCCATCCATTTATTAGAGCGTGGTTGAGCAGTGCTCAGTGGCTCCATCCTGCTATTAGCATTGCTTTGCGCGAAGAAAATAAACTAATCAGTGAACGAATGAGATACCTTCTATACGAGGTATGATACTACCGATTCTTAATATAAGAATTAGTTGACTAATTTGAGGGATTAAAAAAATTAGTTAAGTTAGTTATTTGTTATAGATAGGTTTTGTCTTTCCTAAAATACTTTTGTCAATCATGTATTTCTGAAATTATCATTTGATAAAACATTTTACATGTGCAACTAGTACAAGGACTATTTTGAAAAAAAAAATAAATATAAAGACAAAGTGGATTGGGATCTATATTTAAGATAAATTAAAAGTCAAACAAGTTCTTTTTAGTATAAGAAGACTTATTTAATAACAATTTTAAGGATGATGAAATGCAAACAGATAGTTATAAATATGAGAGTTTCAACTTTAATTTGTTAATAGTAGCGGTATTCATCACACGCTGAATCTAGCCCATTTAGATTAAAACTGGATGATCTAGTTGTTATTTTTGTATTTTTATTAACTTATTATTTTAATAGATGCAAAGTCTAGTGGGTGTGACCTCAAAATGATATTTACGTAACTGCAAATATCGATTTGAGTTATGAAAAAAAATCTATAATTTTTGTATTGACAGGTTCCCGTTCGGGTTGCCGGTGGACTGCTATTTGAACTTCTTGGGCAATCTGCGGGTGATCCTTTTGTTGAAGAAGATGACATCCCCATTGTTTTAAGAGCATGGCAAGCACAAAACTTTTTGGTGACAGCATTGCATGTTAAAGGTGTTACATCCAACGTCAACGTATTGGGCATTATAGAAGTTGAGGTCAGTCCTCTTTTTATTGACGAGATCAGAAGTATATCATACCTGTCGATTCAATTGAAAAATTCGATTAGTTGGTATATGAATGGATTTGAAATTTTTTAGAGAATTAATATTTTAAAAATTGTAAAAAAAATCAATAAAAATCATATTAGTTCTATTTATTTATTTATTTTAATTTTTTGGTTGCTAGTTTTCAGTGATGTTGGTTTTTTAGTTAAATATATATATTTTTTATATTAATTAATATTTTATTAACACAAGATATAGATAATTTAATTAATTAATAATTTTGGGGGTTAAGTATAATGAATTTAAACATACTCCCATGTTACTATTTATAAGGCAATTCCAACATATTTCATGCAAATCAAGAAAAATCTTAAACTATATTAACTCTCTATTAAAATATAACAATTTTCTAACTTTACTTCTATTTAATATATATTTTAAAAGAAATAATTATTTACACTATAATAAATAAATAACAAAACAGTATATTCATCCTAAAAATTTAATAAAATAACTTATAAATAGGATCAATAAAAACCTTCTCTCTCTGCTTTATAAATAGGACCAGAGGAGTAATGAATGATTGTTAGTTATTTTAAATTCAAGTTCTTACTAAGGATAATATTAATTTGTTTGAATTTACGTATTAACTTAAAAATTTATTCATCTTATTTTTTATTTTTCATTTAATATTTTAATATATAAACATTAAAGATATTAATGTAATTAGAGCTGGTTCGATTATGTAATTAGTGTCTCTATTGGTTTAATAACTTGTTAGATTTCCTGGTCCAAAAAAAAAATTGTTAGATTTCAAAAACATGTCAAAATCGCAGTCCTCTGTTTATTTATTTCTTAACATCATGGTACAATTTTTTTTTTTGATTCTGTAATTTTATGTAGGAATTGCTTGCTGCTGGAGGGACTAATATCCCACATTGCATTCACGAGGTTGTAGCACACCTAACAAGTCATCTGGCTCGATGGGATGATAGGTGAAAATTACTTGAATTATTAAATTATCATTGATTCCGCCTTTGATAAGTATGATAGTTTCTTTTGTTTTAATTTTTAGTTTACTTTTTCCTCTTTTCCGGTACATGACCTTAATTAACAAGGAAAAATAGATATTTAGATGTCAGTGGGAGTGAAAACAGTTCAAACAATAAGTAAATCAATTTGTAAAGCGTTAATAATTGCTTTCATGCAAGGCTCCTTGCATGTGGAAAGAAGTTGAAGGATCATAATTTACGCAGTTATATATGGTGCATGGGTGAAAAAAAAAAAATTGTAAGCAAATAGAACCTTAGCA